AGGCAACAGCCATGGCCTCCCCATGTAACACACCCTTGATTTTAAAATCCCTGCCTGAGCTCAGAATAGAGCACCCATGACCTGACTCTGGGATCTGTGGTCCAAGCCTCAGCCCAGCTCCCTTCCAAAGGGACCCATTCCAGGTTTGATGAGACAGCTGCCAGTTGCGTGCGTGGCTTTTCAGTGCTGCACGCAACAGGGAAGCGAGCCTCAGCAGTGCAGAGAGGTTAAAGCCTCCATCGTCAGCGGGTCTAGAGAGAGCAGAGCTTGTGCCATGGGTGTGCAGTGGGAGCAGGCTCCTGTTCTCAGCTGGTGAGCTCCACTGAGGCCAGTGGAGATGCCAGGATGAATGCCACCTGAGAATACAGCCCGCTTGATCACTATCCTGGGATAAGAATTCTCATTTTCTGTCACCTCACTAGATAGAGCCTTTAACCTTCTCTTTGGTTTACTTGATGGAATCTGTTTTCCAAATGCACGTTTGCTTTTAAGTGGAACAAGGCACATATTGTAGCATGTTGAAAATTAACAGTGAGGACTTGTATTCATGTGGTGCTTGCCATCCTGGAGGGGTACCAAATATGTTTTGCTTTTGCTTTCAGTCACTTGTGAAGTATGGGGACATATGAAGTGCACTACAGCAGATGTTTCAGAGTGGCCAGTAACACTATTTAAGATAGGAAGTGCAAAATAATTTGAAACTACAGGGAGAAATTAGGTAGGCATCTGAAATAAAAAGGCTACAACTGTTTGGAGAGGAGTCAAATGAATGGGGACATCAGAGAGGTATAGAGATTTTAAGGTCCAATAGCCTGTGATCTCTCGAGTGTGAAAACAAACATTGAGTGTCAATGGAAAGAGGGAAATTTTGCAGCTTCTCTGATATGGTATAAAAATCCCACTTCTACCTTTGAATGGTCATGAGATGGAAAATGTAGAAGTGTGACTGGCATGAGGCTGAATATTGCCTCAAACAGTGTAATTTGTGGGGGAAATAGGGAGACATCTTTCTGACAAGGGATTTCTAACAGCACTGGGCTTGGGAGATGAGCACACAGTATGGAATTCAAAGGCAGACTGCAGGTTAGATGGTCCAGGGCACGTGATTAATTCAGATTATCACAAGTGCAATTTAGCACCAGAGAATAAGTTAAGGATGAGATCCACGTGATAAGCTCCAGACGTATACAAGTCCATCATGCAATTTCCATTTCTGTAGCTTCTTCATCTACTTAGTAGTCTCGCTCACTAAATCAGAGGCTCATTGAAATGACCAAACCAACGCTTTTTCTGTGCTTATCCCTATCCCAAATTACCCTGCCCCCAGGCTCAGGCTAGGGGAAGATAGAGTCCTGAGCCAATAAGCCCTTTGTATGGGATAGAGAGGATACATTATCTGGCAGTCCTGAAGAAAGGAGAGCTTTGCACCCCCAAGAAGGGGAGATTCCCATTTTCCTAACGCTTTTAATCATGTGAGGGCCAAGCTATCAGCATATAAATTCTTCTATTTCTTTTGTGCATAGAAAGGCTAACCCAGGTTATTCTATGACTGCTTTATATTTACTTATCTTGCTCCCTTCCTGTCTTTCTAAGCCCTCTGCTGTTCCTAGTGGAAGGATGCAAGAAATACTCCTAAAAGCATAAATGGGAACTCATAGAAATGTCCTCTTTTACATAGCGGGGTGGGTAAAGGTTTTGTGAAGTCTCAATATAGGATGCTCTGCCTGACTTATTTGTGCATAATTCAGGTATTCCGTGGCATTACAGGTAAAACTCGTCGCACCTCAACTCTCTCATCCACTTGTCCAGCTTTCTCTAGTATCTGGTTGCTCTCTGCAGGGGTAAATATCAACTGCAAGGAAGGAGGGAGTTCAGGAAAACTGGGAACTTAAGCTGATGGCAATTTGTCTGAGCTGCAAACAGACAGTTCTCTGGTTTCATCCCTTAGCAGCAGCAGGAGGGAGATTTCTTTGCAGTTTAGACAAGGAGGTGGGGGCCAGCCTGGCCGAGAGCTCCCAGCATTTGCTGCCGCTCGGCACGCTATCCAGTTACCCCGGGATTGAGTGTCCCGGCCAGAATCCACCAGACTGGCTCGGTGCTGGCAGCTGAAATTCTAGAGGAGAAGCATGGCATTTCCATTCTCACAACAGAGAAAAGGGGATTACGTTTGGCCTCTGCGGGCTTGGTCCCCCCACGCACACACGCACTTTAGTCCTCCCCCTCTTTGCAGAAAGAGCAGACGCTGCTGGAAGTTCCCCAGGCTTCACGTGGGAAATGACCAGGTTTCTTGCTTGGTTTCCAGCCTGTGGCACACAAAGCCTTGTGCCTGTCCAGCTCTGCCACTGGATCCCCAAAGCATTTCCCATGTGGTTTCCCCCAGTTTAGAGGCCTCTATTCCAAACCTGAGACTGCTGAGGAGTGAGAGGTCAACTGGGAGTTTTTGTCTTCAGCTACTTCATCCCATGATGATGTGTTTTATGACACTTCATACAAGAACATCCACTTGGTTGTGCGAAGGATAGTCCCACATGAAAAAACTCTCATGTCACACTCCTTCCTAGACCTTAGGGAGAGACCTCAGGCTAACCCGAGCAGTGATTTGTGATGGTTTCGTGCTGGGACGGCCTTTGTAGGAGAGAGATCTTGCTCTGAGCGTTGCCTCTTTGAGAAAGTGAACTTCACAGGCTGGCCAGCTGCAGCCAGATGAGTCACCTTGCATCTGTCAGGATGCGCTGGGTGGCTGCAGCAGTCACGGATTATCAGAAAGTAGCTCAGTACTGGGGAGCAGGAACACGCAGCGAGGTCCCTGTCGCTCCCCAAAGGTGGTGTGAGTTAGTAGCAGCTGTCTCAGATTCAGCTGGGCTGACTCAGTGGCTCGCAACTGCCTCCGGGCTGGCGTTAATGGCTGTGCCAAAACTTAGCAAAGAGATAGAGACCCGAAGCAAAGTTAAACATGAAGTGTGAGTAACCAGAGGTAGCAGTCACAGAGTGTGATTTCTGGCCCTGGAGCTTCTGTCTCATCATTTCTCACAAGAGTGGGTTGTAAAGCAAGTGTGTGCGTGGGTGGGTGGGATTTCGTAAACACATTGTAAATATTTCCAACTCATTTTCATCCCACAGAGGAATCATTTCGCATTTATTTGAGAATACCTATCAGCCTCAACTAGGACAAGGCCAGGCACCATGACATCTTTAGCCAGAACAAACTTTGCATCCATCTGTTTGGAAGTTCAGACCTGAGCTACATGAGTATTGCCCCTCGCTGTGGCGGGGTAAGGCTTGTGACAAATAGCTCAATATAATGGTCAACTCAGAGTTACATCCTGATCAGCATCTGTCTGACGGTCCTTCAAGAGAAGATGTATGCTCAGTGCAGGCTGAGGTGGGAGGAAATTAAGTGAATTTATCAGTACATGACAAGTCAACACACAGAGAAAAGCGAGGGCCACGTTTGACGGCACCTTTGGCATTTGTGACGATGGGAAATTCCCTGGGTGCTCTTCAAACAGCAGAAAAGTAGAGTCATGTTGTATTCTGGGCTGCTTTCATCTCCAGCACATCTCTTCTGCCTTTTAAAATGTCTCCATGTTTTTTAGGAGGATTTTGTCAACTGCTTCGCCTCCTAAAATTTTTACTGCCCTTTTAGATCCAGGCCTGTATCTTAGACGTGTCTGACTGTTCTTGTAGCACCTTGGGGTCCTGCAAGGGGTTATTCAAAAGCAAAAGATCCTTGGTTTGTTGCAGATGGCCCCCGCCTAGCTGGAGAGTGTATCAAGGTATAGTTAAGAGTCAAGTGCTTCCTATACTTTCATAACATGTTGTTTCTGAGACTTTTGAATCTTTTAACAAACCCACAGGATCACCCAGAGATTAAGACAATTCCAGAAATATGAAGAGCCAAGAGAAACTTGTTCGCCATCTCATATTTGTTGCTTTAATTTTCTCAGGGCTTTCAGTGGCTTTTTTGCTCCATGAGCAAATGAATTCCCAGTGTACTGGCAGTATCTGAAGACTGGAGTCAGATTTTACAATTTCTGGTTTATCACCATATCTTGATAGTGTTCCTGGAGGGATGCTTGAGGCCACAGGTCAGGCTCTGCCCACAAATTTACACTCTGCACTCAGAGACCTTCTTAGTCTGCACAACAGCAGCGTGGTTTTGTTTTTCCTGACATCATCCCAGGGCTCCAGACTCTTCCATCGTTCACGGTAACATTTTCCTCAGCCTCACTGGGGTGGGATTAGAGATGATCTGAATCCCTGTCAGGAGCACACTGATCCTGGCAGAACCATGAGAAGAACCAGCTGTGCCCTTTTC